AGTTTTAATGAGCGACTAGGCCGAAGGCTTCCTTCTGTCTGGGTACTCCTATCCACCGCTGGGGGAGGCAATGCAGACAAATAGTGCTCATCACCCTGCTGGGTTATTGGGGGGGGGGCGTGATGGTGGGAGGGGATCCCTGGAATAGAAAAGAAGCGGCACTGCGGGATACAGCGATGCAGAAGAGATTGCGCCGATACAGAGGGTATAAAGACCCCCGAGTGTGAGAAGCAGCGGCTTGGCTTGATGGTCCATCTTTCCTACCCATGTATCACCCAGAAAATCATGGGGGGGCTCGACGGAACAGCCGGGTGACCTGTGGTCAGAGGTGTCCACCCTGTAGCTACGTACAAATTCTGCCACGGTGAAAAGTAAAAAAAGACCCGAGCAGCCTACTGTCCCCCCCCCCCCAACGCCTGCCACGCTCCTCTTTGTCTTCCTCTCCGCTGCACTCAGAATGTCGCGTCTTATTCGGTTTGTTGTTCACAGATTACATCATGCTCTTCCTGTAGTCGACCAGCAGGGGGCTCTTGGGCCCCGGGGTGTGCAAAGGGCTCAGGGGGGCGGCGGGGCTCTGCTCCAGCTGCCGGTACAGTTCCTGCAGTCCCCTGACCTCCTCCAGGACACGCCGGGCCTGGCCCCAGGCTGAGGCGGCCTCCTGAAGGAGGCGCTCCACCTCCGCCCGGTCGGCCCCCGAGTCCGAGTCAGTGCCCTCGGGCCCCGCGACCCGCACCTCCGCCAGCATCTCCCGAGTCCTCTCCAGCTTCTGGGCTATGAGGTCCTGTAGCTCTGAGGTGGAGGTGGTGGGAGAGGCAGGCCGCGCCCCAGCCTGGCAGATGAGGATCTCGTCCAATGAGGCGCGGCGGGCCTTCTCGGGGGTGTGAGCTGCCCCCTCCTGCCGGGGAAGGCTGTCCGACTTTCCCCTGGCCTCGGAGGCCACCGGCGTCGCAGGGCAGCCATCGCTGTTGGACCGCTTGGCGAGCAGGGCCATGGACTTGTCCAGATCGACCCGGAAGCTTCCTTCACAGCTGTCCTGCCCCTCTGCCGCAGGCGAGGCCGTGTCCTCCTCCTGGACGAGGTCCAGCGTCAGCATGCCATCCGACGTCGAGGTGGACGCCTGCAGAGAGAACAGGAAGTTCTAAGGAGCGCCACACTGCAGAACCTCCACCAACCAAAACTCCTCCATGGTTCTCCATGTACAGTCATAACATGCTGATCAGCCCCATGTTTAGGTAAGTAGAGTACATCTCTTCCCTTTTAACACACTGGAATCACCAAGTCATCATCATTTACTGGATGATCCATTATAAGCGATCCTACAGTACTGTGCAAAAGTCTTAGGCAGTCATAGAAAATGTTTTAAGCTACACATCTGGGTAATAAGTGTATATTTGCAACAAAAAAAAATGTAATTTAGCATTAGAATATATGCAAATGAAATAACGCAATAAAAAAATTATGGGAATTTCTTTTCTCCAAAAAGTTACTGACATCTAGTCGGATGGCTAGATGAGCACCGCTTTCCAAATCTCTCCTCAGGGGCACCTCAGCCAATCAATGTGTATTTGTCGAATTTCACCACCAGCTCGATTAAATAATTAACTTAATCAATTAAATAACTGAATGAGGTATTGATTAGCCAAACGATGTGGGGCAGTGGTCAAATCAAAAAACAGCAAAAAAGCTGCAAATTCCGGGGTGACTTTAGGAGAGGTTTGGAAAGCTGGCTCACTTTGTGTGATAATAACATGGATTTGCAAGAATTACTACATTTCACTAGAGTACAGAGAACATTGCAGGGAGCTAAATGGCCTCTGAAAATATGAGGGATTGATTGATCATGTCTTATGAAAAGCGGCACATGGCACCAGCGGCCACACACCTACCACGGCCATGAGGTGTCCGCGCGTGGGCAGGCGCCGCGTGTGTGGGATCTTGGCGCGGTCGCGTGTGGGGTGGGCGAGGAGGCTCTCCTCCTCTACGGTGACCTGGGGAGAGACAGCGACAGTCTTGCCGGTCATGATCCGGTCATCGTCCCCTGGGTGATCTCCCCTTGATGTCTCACCTAGAAGCCCTTCACGGCCGCACACACTATCAACTAAGCATAAATGTCCCTAAAGAGTCCCTGCGCTGCATTGGGCCGTCCGTGTTCCTGGGTCATGTGACCGCTGTCCTCTCGATGCTGCCCCACAGGAATGGTGGAAGTCTTGTGGTTCTCGTTCTGGAAGTTCCACGGTGCAACAACTCAATGGCTGAGGACTCAAATCCTCCCCTGAGCACCGAGTGGGCAGGATAGACAGCCCAAGCCGTACATGCAAACTTTTAAAGGAGATACTTAGGAACTGAAGCAAATCAGCAACATGATAGCTGTCAGAGGGCAGCAGAAAGCAAAAGAAACTTCATGCAAAACGATTCTAATGAACCCTGAAAACCCAGATGGGTGGACTTACCTTCCTGAGATGCCTCCTCCCCCCCAAACAGGGGAAATTGTAACACTGACTGCAAACCACATATCATGCAGCTAAGCTGCTCTGTGTGCATTTTGCATGTTCTCGTCCAGGGGCTCTGTTTTCCTTCCACAGTCCAGAGCCACGCAGGCGGGCACAACGGAATCTCTGGATGGCCCATAGTATGTGTGCAGCGATGGACTGGCTTCCCATGTGGGATGTAACCCAACCTTGTACCAGGATAGGCTCCAGGCCCCCAGTGGCCCGTTAAGTGCTGTGACATTTATTCTCCACGTTCACAGAACCTCCTGAAGGGGCTGCTCTGTACCTCCTCCCTCCCCGCTACCCTGCAGAGAGCTTTCACATCATACGGATGTGATTCATGGGAGCCCATACAGGGGGCCGGGTTTCACGCAGCTTCCGGGCCTCCCGCTGCCTTCCTGTCTGTCTAAGGCAGTGTTTCCCAAACCGGTCCTCGAGGACCCCCCCCCGACAGTCCACCTTTTGTGAGCTGGGAGGGAGCAAAAATATGGACAGTCTTAGAGGTCTGCAACCCAAACAAAGCGGGTTTTGGGTTTCAGGTTTCTGGTTGGGCACTGGTCAGTTTTTTTGTCCAACTTGAGTTGGATTTGGGTTTGTTTTTTATGAGTGATTTTTTATTTTATTTTTTTTATGTAAAAATTGCTTTTTTTTTGCTTGCTGGGTCTTTTGCTCGTTTGTGCTTTCATTACCACCCCAACACCCACCATCCCCTCGCAAAACCTTGCAAATGTCTCCATATTCATGTAGAACTAATTCTTCCACAATTTGGGGTTCGGGTCGGGCTTGGTTTTGGATTTGCTAGTACTACTCAGGCTAGGTTTTATTTTCAGGCTCATACAGGACTCTAGACTGTCTAGCAGAGAGCTGGGGGGGGGGGGGGAGCAAAAATGCGGCCCGTCTGAGGGTCCCTGAGCACCGGGTTAGAAACACTGGTGTAATGGAGGACGTGCATCCTACACTAGGCCTTCAGGAGGGCAGCGGATCCCGGACAGACGCAGCGGAAGACGTCCCGCCATGGAGCTGCTACTCATATTCTCATTTATTTAGCAGCTGGTTTGGTCTAAAGCAACATCCAAGTGACGAGAGTTTGGGATCCGAAGGCAGGTCGGCAGTACGGTCTAAGGGTCCTTGCTCTTATCGCTCTGCTGGCCATGGATGGAGATCCCAGAACCTGCTGAGCTATTAGAATCGGAATTCTGTGTTGTTTGATTGTTAATTGACTCAGTTGTTTTAGTAGATCACATTATTTCATGCATCGGGGCGATTCAAGTCAAGCAGCTGTCTCACATCACCCCCCTCTGCGAAGCTACAAAGCAGGGCAGGAAATCAGCCGTAGTCGTCACGATTACATTTGTCCGTTGTCCTTCCATCCCGGGAGCCAAACCAGACAAATGAGTCAAGTCATGCAATTGCAGTAAGGAAGCAGGTGTGCGTTGCGGCAGGACATGAGCGAGGACTCAAAAGGGATTAGTCATCAAGGACGCGCTTCTGCCTCGAGACCATACACAGAAGCAAGCATCCGCTTCCTTTTTCGTGGAAGTAATGAATTGTGTTGATGTTTAAATGAAAATCCGCCTGGGTCAGATCTCAGGAGAGGCACCACTGTCTACAGCTAAGCGATGTTCTTACTGCTTCACGGAGGCCGCTGCCATTTTTGTGGACCTCAGAGAGGACAGGAAGCAGGGCGTGGGGGTGGTGTGTAGCTCACATCCAGAAGGTTGTGGGTTCAAAACCTATAGCTGGCAGAATAATTATGTCACTGTTGGGTCCTTGAGCAAGGTTCTTAAACCCAACTTCTTCTGGGGCGATTCAGGCTAGCTTACCCTGTGCTCTGATCCCACAACTGTGTTTTTCATGGAGAACAAGACAGGGTGCATTAAAGACTAATAAATAATCTTGTCGTTTATATTTGTAATATACACTTTTCCTACACATAAAATAAAATATATTCCTGATTGAATCAATAATTATTTCTGCCTTAATTTGTATACAATATTAACAGGAGTGGATAATTGTTTGTGAACATTTCATCTCGATGCTGAGATATTAAGCGTGGAGAATGAAGAGGGTGTGTATGAACGAGGTCATACCTCATCCAGGATACGGTTTTTAGCTCTCGTGATGGCGCCGTTTAAAGCATTGATCCAAGACTCCTTTTCTTCAGGGCTGACAGCCAGGAACACGAGATTTGGCACCTGGGGCAGAGAGAGACAGGAAGCTGAACGTGCGGCCAGAAAGGCAAGCGATCCAGCAGCCGCTGACACCGGCATCACAGAAGCACCACTCAAGCGGGCATCTCCTCCAGGCCCGCGTCTACGTTCCGGACTAATTATTTCTTTAATTGAACCAATTGAACTAATTTAGGCCTAATTAACTGTACGGATGACTGCATGTTCTCTGAAGAAAAAAACACTGGTTACTAGAATACGGCATGTCAAACCCAGTTCATGCTTGTTCGTGTCACTTAACAGAGTCAACTGGTCAATTACCTGTACTAGTAAAGCAATTATGTAACCCAAGATACATGAAAAAAATTTAACTTTTGCATCTTCTAGTATTAAAGGACATTCCACCCAGGGAGGACCCGGCCTTGTGCCCTGTTTCCCTATCTTCAGGCTCACAACAAAGCTGTACGGCATAAGCAGTTGTGGAAGATGGATGTACTGTTTATTATTATGTGTCAAACTGCTGAATGGAAATAAATTCAAGCAGGATGATGTTGGTGTAAAAGCCAGCGCACATACAGGGCAGGGGGAGCGGCCTTTATGACTTACGATTAAGGTTCTGGCTCTTGCATATGCTACAGCCACTAAAGTCCTAATGGACTATTTTACAGGCATTTAAACGAAATATATTAAAAACAAAAAAGGGGGCATTTTGTTCAGACTGCTGGTCCTGAAGTACTGAAGCCATAGCAGCGTAAATCTTGTGAGTCACATGAGCCTTTTTGAGAAAAGGCGTCTCTCATTAGTCGCTCACAAACTCAACAGTCACTCCACACACCCCTGTCTCATCCTCTCACCCCATAGGGTGACACGGAAAGCTAGGAGGCTCGTATCCACTATGGGTCTGCCTCCCCCACCCCCACCCCCACCCCCCACCATGCGTGGTCTGGCGAGGGCCGCGGTTCACCCACGCAGGCCGGCGGATTCCGCGGCGCTCGTTAGCGGGATGCTCACACCATGTGACTATCTGCCGAGAGTCTTTAGCCTCCTCACTCCTGTCGGGAGGGAAGATTGAACCAATCAACACGTCTGGGTTGAATTTGTGACGGAAACTAAATCACGCGATCGGAGACGCAAATGCGCGAATCCAAGCACATAACCCAGGTAAACGGCATGAGCAAGACCTCCACATCATTCTGATCTATAACAATAGATAAATCCGTCAGCTCAGTGACTCTGGAAGGACATGCGAGACTGACTAAGTCAAACAGCGATGACACAGGACAACATGCACCTAAGTCTCATCTGAAGAATGTCATCTTGTTTTCCATGACTACTCTGACTCAACTTAGTCACAAATACGCACAAATATGACTTTGGTTTGAAGTCCTTCTGTTAATGCAGCCCATTGTTATTAAATAATTAACATGCATAACTTTAACGGGACCACAATGTAGGATTATAATCAGCAGACATTTGCATCCTCAAACTGGTTTACAGGTAATAAATCTCACATATCTGTAGATCAAATTTCCAAAACACACTCAGTCCATTCTTTGTTGTGCTTGAGATGAGGCTGCTAATGACCTAAAGTCAGGCTTCCTCATTATATGTTACTGTACTGGGAACCAAAATCCAGTAAATTCCACAGAAATGTTCTCAAAAACGTTTTCCACGGACTGAGCGAGTTTTGGAAATTTGCTCTTCAATTCTGATTTAATGCTGCGCTCAAGGGCACGGCAGTGGGATCCTCCCCGGACCTGACCTGTCAGCGGGATCTGAACCACTACCCCTCCGGTTTTAAACCCATAAGTCCATAGTGTGGCATGTGCCAAAAGGAAGGGGTTCAGTGCAGCATCTCCTGTAACTCCACCACTGTCGTAGAGGCAACCTGTTTTTCATTAAAAGAATTTGAGTGAGGCCTGGGTTAGGGTGAGGATGGGGCCTCGGTGGGGAGCCGCCCACCCCCCGGCTCCATTACCAGCAGACAGGAGCTAATCAACTCCTCAAAATAACAGACACAACAATGGGGCCCTTTATGACCAGGAAGCTCTGGTTCTCTGCTATCAAAAAAAAATCCTCATTCCAGTCAAATTAACCACATGGGTGAACAGGTCAAAACTCAAGTGTGAGCTGAAGACGGCAGTTTCTGCTAACATGACACGCTACTTGTTCTAGTAGGAGGGAAACTCTTTCCCGCCTCTGTTTTTCATGTCTATGCATTCATTAAGCCCTGTATTAAATGTGGTCTGTGTGTGACTCAGCAGGTTACAGTGCTGTGATCAGAGGGTTGTTTGTTCAAATCCCCAGATCAGCACTGATTTTTCAGTTGGGCCCATGAGCCAGACTCATAACCCCACAAGTGTTCCAGGGATTGTCTAACTTTGCTTTCAATTGCGTGTCGCTTTGGATAAAAGCATTTGCTAAACAAATAAATCTGAGAGTTGTGGGGGTGAACGGAACCGTGTGACGTGGGGACGAGTAGGGAAAGTCTAACGAGGGCTGCGATCCAGCACTGAGTGGGCAGGATACATGGCACAAGCTGTACATGCAAACTTAAAGGAAATACTTAGGAACTGAAGCAAATCAGCAACATGATAGCTGTCAGACTGTGGGCAGGAGACAACAAAAGAAAATTTATACAAAATGACTGTAATGAACCCTGATAATCCAGGCGGGTGGACTTTCCTTCCTGAACCGCCCCCCCCCCCTCTTTACACACACAGGGGCAATTCTACAATTTTTTTAAGGTTGGGGGTATAATAGGGGGCAAAAATCATACAGATGGGCCAATCTTATCATTAGCCAATGATATGTTTTGAATCGGTGAGTGATAGGGGAGGGGAGCACTCTGGGGGCCAATCAGCTGGCCCCAACCTGCCAACCCCACTGACTACACTGACTAGAGTAGCTCTGATTGGAAGTTCCACACTGGTTGGGTGTGTGTCTGTGTGTAGGCCGGGGGCTGCGACAGGGTTACAGCCCAGTGACCAGACGCAAGCTTCTGCGTAGCTCCAGGCCGCACCCTTCTGCCCAGACTTCGCATTAGCCAATCAAATTTAATTGTGCCTGTTTCGACCGGCGATCGTTTTTGGAAATTGGCTAAGTGTGCCTGTGTCTGGAGAGGGGTGTTTTTGTGGCGGGCTGAGTGAAAGGCGATTAGCACAATCAGATTTAATTATCAGGGACAGGAGGACAGCTGAGCAGGGTCAGGACAGTTTAGCGACCACTGAAGCCACTTCGTTGCACTGCGGAGTCGTGCAGGACATTTGCGGGTGCCACTCCCCCGCCCCTCCAGACTCCAGACGTTCAGTGACTTAACCTACCCTCTCTTAGGCACCTGCTGTCCCTGTCCCCCCCAGCGATCCAGTGTAAACATGACAATACTGTAATAGCTGGCCTGTGATGAAGCCAGGGTGTTTCCTGGCACCCCATCCAGTTTGCAGTGCTGGTATCCAGGCTGCCGGACTCACTGTGTTCCCAGGCTGCCTGGAACGTAGCAAAGTGAACTTGCTGTGGTTCTTCTTGCTCCGGCTCTTGGTCTTGCGCAGCTCCTCCGAGCGCTCGTAGTCCGTCAGGTCGATCACCTCCTGAATTTTCTTCTCATCCTTCACCTGCGGGAAGTGCGAGACAGATGAGCTACACTTCGATGACGTGGCTGTTTCGCCAGGTGACGTAAAGGCTTCGTCTGCGTTAACACGTGGACAAACGGCACTGGCATGACAGATTACAGAGCAATTTACACAGCAGGTTGACAGCCATTAAATGTAGCAAAGCTTGCATGGTGCTTTATAAATAACACACTATATACAATAACATATAACTCAAAAGAAAATGTGCAGTAATATATAGAAAAGTACGAGTAACCAGTTCATACAGTCATGAGAATAATTCAGAATAAATAAAATTAAATATTTTCAAATTCGATCACGCAGGATAAAACGGCCTGGGAAAGTTAGGGACACTTTTCCGTGAGAATTTAAGTAAACGGGGAAGGGGTGAGACAGGCAGTATAAGGTCACACTCTAACGGGTTAGGGCCTCGTTAGCGGATCGGCCACATGCCTCCATACTGCCCCCACCAGGCCTTGGCGATGGAGGGGCGGACCAAGAGCAGGAGATACCGGTGTCGTGACACCAACCGAGACGGGACTGACAGTTCATAACCGAGAGACGGCAGATGCTGACCCCTTTTCTGAGGTGGGGCCGTGTCAGGATAGAGCGTTTCCTCTCAGGAACTGTGCCATTAAACCGCGACCTTGCAAGCGCTGTATGACTGGGGGGGGGACCTACCTGGGGAGGCTGTGGGCAGAGCCGGGGACACGGCTGATAGTCACGACCCGTTACCCCGCGGCTCTGCATCAGAACCCGCCGCCTGGATTTAATAACAGAGGCCCGCTGCTATTTTTGCCATCCGGGGCTGGCGTTGCAAGTCGTACCGCGGCGGAATGTACGTTTTACCATTCCCCACACTCCGCGTCTCGTCCCTGGATAACAGATCCGGAGGCATGCTGGGAAAGGAGGGGTGCGTCACCTGCCCGCCACAGGAACACACTGTCTTTGCTCAGTGTCACCTCAGCACCCCCACCGGCCGCGGCGCAGGGACGCTCTCCGTCGCCTCTTTGTTGTTTGTTCTCTCTCTTTTTGTGAGTTTCCCTGGGAACAACACGTCATCCCGCGTCCCCGCTCCCGTTCTGTTCGGAGATTTCGGATCCAGGGCTCTCTTGCTCGCGTACCCATCGCGCAACACGAGCGGGGACGCCCATCGTGCGGGTCAGCAAACGCCGATGTGCAGGATTATTACCGTGCACAGAAATAACCGTGTAACTCTCTGCGGCATTTGCATGCCTCTGCACTTTCATTAAATGCTGCATACCAGACGGATGCAAGTCACCGATATTTTCCATTACTGTGGACGCCGATCGCTGGTTTCCTTCAGGCACAACCTGGATCTGCCAGCCTACACCTAGTTAATTCCTGACCTTCTCTCCTTACCTGTTCCTCTCCATATCAGTCTCAGGACATTGATTACAATATATAAAGAAAAGTGCGATACCACACACAGCACTATGGATACATTTCACCCAGCTGTTGCTAAGGACCTGGCAGATGCTGTGTATCTACTGGGTTACTGTTGCTATGCTCACTCAGAAGGCCAGGAGGTCTCTGAGTCAGAAGGACCATCTGTCATAACGCATTATAACTGCTTGTGGAAGCCCAGCTGATAATGGCTGTCACCTACACATTTCTATCCATCAGTTAAGTACTGAGGTCATTTTTTTAACAACATGGCTCACATCCATTTTTGTTAAATTTTTCTGTGAAAACAAAGCTCATATTTAATTAACGTGCAATTAATTATCGTGAACATTTAATTACTTTAACTGCATTGATTCCAGCCTAAAGCAGAAAGAGTGGACGGACACGTGTCGTCCCTGGGTTCAGAACCGCTGAAAATGGGCCACCCAGGGACCAGCAGGACACAGTGCGCCCAGTCAGAACTCACTGGCGCTGGTGCGGTGATAGACGATGATGCCGTGCAAATGACCAGTGCGAAGATGAAAGGGTTACCCTTTTAAGATGGAGCGGAGGTCGTGTGGGGATATCCAATCAAATGTGTGACCACAGTCTGGTCAGCACAGCACTGAATCACCCTATAATCTAGCCCTAGAAGCCTCTGCTTTTTATAAACACAGGCGAGCTCCCCTGTGCCATGCTCGACGTTGATGGGGGGGGGGGGGTTTGCCGTTCTCTTCCAGAAAGGTTGGCATTCACCGACGTGGCGTTTGTGCCTGCGTGTGCGTGTGCCACAGCGATGCCTGCACACCCCACATGGGCACGGCTGGCCACACAAGGAGAGCCTCCCGCACATGCCAACCTTCCCCGCTGGCAGTCTGACAGCTGAGCTCCGGCTCTGAGGCCTGGAGAAGTTTCCCGACACAAAGCTCAGCTCTGAATACTCTGTATTGAGTTTGAAGTCCATTGTACATGCTCGCTCAGTCTTGAGTATGCTCAGTACTCAGTTCTGAATACATTTCTGGGCCAATGAGTACTGAGTACTTAGGAGCTCTTAATACTTCGTAGAAAAAAAAATATGTCAATGGCTACAGGCGACTTTTATGCATTCATTTGTTTAAATCAGCTCTGGTGATTTACTCATTCTGAAATACACACACCCTCCACTGAGAACAGCAAATCCAGCAGCCCCCATCATGATTTGCATCATCCTTCCCACCCCAGGACAGCTCCCATGCTCAGTAGGACCCCCCACAGCCGAGCGCCATCTTAACCAGTGACTCAGGGAGTATAACCCCTCCCCCCCCCAACACAGGGGTAATCGGAAGATACCCAGCGGGGTTGGGATGCACCCCTAGTGGAACTCTGGGGTGTGAGGGTGTAAGGGCAGGATGCCCCCCTAGGGCATGTTCAGGGACACCGCAGATCTGCAGATGCCTCCTGTTGCTGTGTATGGACCAGCTCCTGGCATTGCGTTTTTCAGGGGGGTGGATGTGGAGCAAGAGGAAGCCACAAATGGGCAGGGATGATGTCAGGGACGAGCAGAAAAAGCAAACGGCCCCGCGGTACTGGGAGCCAATCACGCGAGATGTTCACAAACGGCACGGAGGCGGTGGGTACCGGGACCGTGTCCAGCTCTATTTATACACAGAGTGCGGCGAAGAGCCAGAGGGGCAGAGAGCCTTCTTAGTATCACTGCTCGCCGGAAGCCATCGCTGCTCCGAGGGCTGCGCTTAAACCGGCATCAGTCATTCCCCCCCGCCACCACCAGCATCACCCACAGCCCCAAGCTGGGAGGCAGAATCTCTACAAAGTGAGATGGTGGGGGGGCGGAGCCTCGGCAAGGGGCGGGGCACAACAGACACCGTGTTTCCACGAGAATGGAGCCGAGTGGATAGAGGTATAGAGCTGAGCGTGTTTGTTTTTCCATTACAGCTGGGAAAAGGAACTATGTTTCGATAGAATGGAGGATGGGAAGGGGGAATGAAACATGGCCACATGTAACTTCTTGAGCCCGGTTACTGCAAATGGTTACTAGTGCAGTGGCTTGCATTCAGCACTAACTAGTACTGGAAAAATAAAAACAAACAAAAGAAACTGCACCAAAAAATGCGAGAAGACACCCAGGCGCCCCCTAGATTTAGATTTATAATTGACAGGTTAAATTAAAAGTAGCCTAAATAAACAGCTTCCTCAACTCAAAACACTGAACGTGAAATTCATAAATTATATAGCCAGCTATAGAGGCATGAAATACGAACATCTATAAACTGCAAAATGTTCCTTGGTTAGAAGTAACGTCTCCAAGTCCCACCAAGCAAATCTCTGCCGAAACACAGAATAATTACAGGTCGGTTCAAGATTGTGGAATTTTGCATTAAGAGTAATTGCTGGAGCCCATCATTCCCGAAGAAATGGCGTGTAAATGGCGGCATATAAGACGGCTCTGTGTCAGTCAGTGTAATGGGACACGACACCTAACTGAGATCATCAAATGTGATGTCAAATCGGCCAGGCTGAAGGTGGTCTCAGGCCCGGGGGGGTTTGGGGATGGACCACAGCACCCATGGCTTACCACTCAAAAAATGGAAATATCGCCCTTCACAGTACATCTTAGGACGGCTAGACAATTGGGGCGGGGGGGGGGACAAAAATCTCCTGTAAGCGCCAGCTGTTCGGAGAGGCAGAGGTGTCTCCGGTTGACATCTTTGTGTTTTGAGGCAGAAGACTAGAGGAGCAGGGGGCAGTGAGTCTGGAGGAGGCACAAGGGGCAGTGAGTCTGGAGGAGGCACAAGGGGCAGTGAGTCTGGAGGAGGCACAAGGGGCAGTGAGTCGGGAGGAGGCATAAGGGGCAGTGAGTCTGGAGGAGGCACAAGGGGCAGTGAGTCTGGAGGAGGCACAAGGGGCAGTGAGTCTGGTAGAGGTGCAGGGGGCAGTTAGTTTGGAGGAGGTGCAGGGGCAGTGAGACTGGAGGAGGAGCAGGGGTCTGTGAGTCTGGAGGAGGAGCAGGGGACTGTGAGTCCAGGGGAGGTGTAGGGGGCAGTGAGTCTCGCCCCGATTGCCCCTCAAGGAGCTGCTTTAGCCCTTGCTTGGACGCTTTCAGCAGCCACTAGCTGGCCCTCAAACACAGACAAGCCACACATCCCTCTATACATGGCAGGGGGGCGCGAGTTAAGACTGAAACTGACACGAGTGCTCGAGTGGACGGGGGTTAGGAGGACCGACGGACAGGTTCAGTCTGTCTGCGTGACAGTTGCTTCTCCCTGACCAGTCGGTTCAGACGCCAGCAGGAAGGGGATTCGGTGCCACAACAGCGTACGTGTTTCCCCAATTCAGCTGAGGGGGGGCGCTGTGTAGCTCAGTGTGTTAGGGCTCTGTGTCTGTGATTGGAAGGTCGACAGTTCAAATCCCGTCCTCGGCAAAGTAGTCGAATAGTCAAGCCTGCCAGACACAAGGCCCCGTCGCCCAGAGGTCACACTCTGCCATGCATGGCACCGGCCAGTTATGACTGTCTCTGCGGTCGACATCCTACAGTTAACCTGCTTCGGCCCTTGGGCCAGGGGACTGTGGGGCCAGAGCGGCTTGCTGGGACTTCCGGC